GCTGCCATTTTCCATGAGAGCAAAATGGTGTTGGCGTGTGAAACTGCACAATTCAATCCCTTTACATGGTGACCTCATACAAAAGAGGAAAATGTCATTATAGGAAGAAAAAAATGCTGTGGAAGAATGAATCCTGTGTTTAATAGAATGTGCTCTTTTAAAGAAATGTTCTCTGCTGAGTATTTTAAAATGCTTCTCTTTTCCTATATCCCCTGTCTGTTCCTTCTTGGCATCCAGGGGCAGCTACTCTGGCTCTGCTCACAATCTCACCATTGTTGGTACAAGAGCCCTCTCCTGAGGAGAAAATGCCATCTGAAAGAGTCTTCCTGTGCTCTTCTGCCTGATCAGCTTTTCATTTGCTTTCAAATATCTGATCAAAACTTCTTCCCTCCTTTCCTTTTGCCTTTTAGTTACATTCTTCACTGTCATCAATGAAAGAATAATTTATATAAAGAATTACTGAAGTATTCTGAGACTCTGAATTTCAGAATTATTATGCCTAAGTGGAATGGGCTGCCTGGTAATTTTTACAACCTTTAGCCTTCTGCCTCCCTATGTCCCCTTTTACATATGTGAGACCTTCAGCATTTTCAAACATTAGAAAAATAATCCAATTTCTTCAACTCCATTCCAATGTCTGCTGCACCACCCAACCACCCAGCACAGGGAATAAAAGTAGAGAATGAGAAGCACTACTGAGAGCAGATGTAGCAGCTGCCTTGCAGTTAACCAACACTTAAAGGGACTCAGAAGTAACATTTGTGAAAAACTTTCAGGTAAGAGCAGTAGTTACAATCATACTTTGAAATAAAGACTAGCACTAAATGGTTTTGAGCAGCACAGAGGTGGCAGCACCTGCAAGAAATAACAACACCATCTTTATCAATGGCCAGTGTTTATTGCATTTACCTATTGCTATTCTGCTATGACCAGGGCTGGAAGGGGAAAAATAAAAATTCTACCAGAAATACAAAACATAATTCACTCCAGAAGGTGGGGGTTTTTTTGCTGAAAAAGTAAATGGCTTCTGACACCTCAGTATCCAGCCTGGGGCATCTTCACATAAACAGTTACCAACTTTGTTTGAAAGTCCTTGAAGTTAGAGAAAGGCATTTGCAGACCTCAGTGCTACATAAAACTGAGCAGGACATTTGCACTTACATACCAATAAAGTTACGTTTAGAGTGCTGTCACCCAATTCAGAAGTACGCCTGTGATCAATTTGTGGTTTAAATTTAACACCTACCATAAAGAATTTGTCATGAAGGGAATCTCTAGTTTCCCATGCCAAACTTTAAACATTTTTGACTCAGTATCTTTTCCACAGTTGTTTTCTGAAGAGTATTTCCGCTTCCTCTTCTTGGGGGGACAGAGGAAGCAAGGAGCAGTGTTCCCCATTTCAGCCACAGAAATAGAAACATTTTACAAGAGAAAAACTTAATGGTAAAACCATAAAAGGTGCTAACAAACTCAGAAATGTATATAGTCACAGTTGCTATTTTCTATTTCTGTCTAAAGTTCGGTTGACTCTGTTCCAAAAAAAGGAATATAAAGGTCTTTGTCCTGCCACTATACAAAAAGAAAACTGGGAGATTGAAACAATGGTCAGATTAAGTGGACAGATCATTAATAACCTTTTCGGTAGGTGACACAGTATAAATCATGTTTAAAAGAGTAAAAAAAAAAGTATTTCAGGACAGTTATTTCCAGAAACTCTGGATGAAATAGTCATTAATTGCAGTGAGACAATTTGATGCTCAATACTGATAAAGGTAAAATAACTTTTTTTTTTTCCTGTCAGATAACTCCAGAGTTGAAACTTTAACAACTGCATAACATTTCAAATTCAATACAACCAGGTAAATAAACTAAATTGTTGTATACATTACATTGCTGTGTACATTACAGATTAACACTTAATAAATTATTTAGTTGTGGAGGGGGGGTCTCTGGATGGTGTGGCTCAAGAGTGGTTAACAGAGAAGAGGCATTGAAGGATGGTGTCCTTGGAAGTTGTCGAGGTGACAGAGAATGTAGCAAGATGGGAATGTGGCAGAGAGAATGTAGCAGGGAGGGAAACCAAGAGTCTAAAAAGGGAATTTGGTACTAAGATAAAGAAAAAGGGACTAAAACTCCAGACATAACTTCAGCAATATGTAAGCAATATTAAAGGCCAACCAATCCTGAGCTTAGCTTTTGCAATATGTATGAGCTTATTACACATGTTATAAAATGACTGCCTTATAGATAATAAATCGAACACGCTTATTGATCGTGGGGTCGTTGTGTGTTCCTCCGTTCCCCACATTTAGTGAATTCAATTTGCTTTTTTTCTCAGTGCCTGTCAGGCATGTGAAATACCAGCAGCATTATTAACTTACATATTTCTGTGTGAGTCCTTTCTCCACTCTTTGAAAGACCACCAAGACGGCATTTTTTCTTTAGCCCAAGTCATCTGCTATGATAAAGCTAAGCATTTGGTCAAAGAGCAGCTTTTTCTGTGCTTCAAAAGAAATGAAATTCTTGTGCTATGTGATCACAAAAAGAGATTGCAAGGAAAATGGGATGTGTCCTGGCACTTCTTTTTCTTGCATCTTGTGTTTGAGCTGGCAGGATTCCCTGTGACCATGTGCAGCAGAACTGGAATACTGCTTTCCATGAAGAAGGTATTGGATACTAAATGTGATCATTCTGAGACAGAGGGAGGGAGAACTGGTCTCAACACGCAACTGCAACACAAATACTTTGCAGAAAAGAGAATTTTGGTATCAGTTTCTATTATTTAGGTGTTAGTTCAACTCATAATTCAGACACATCCTTAACAGTTATTACAGGAATCATCCCAGGTAGGTTCAACAAGACCTCTCAAGTTCCTCTGCCTGTGTATAAACCTAGTAAGAATCTGGAATATCTGCTGTGATAGCCCCTTATCAACAGGATTTTGAGCTCTCACACAAAAGGTTCCTCAAGAAATTCTGATTCAGTGGAGAGCTCAAGAAGACCCTAAGTATACTACAGAGCCATTTGGATTGACCCTAATCCCAACAAACAAACACAGAAACTGTTTTAAGTTGTCTGCTGAATCGTGACCTAAACACAACAAGACTTATCATTAAATAATATAGGTTGGTAGATTAGTTAGTTAGTTAGTTAGTTAGTTAGATAGATAGATAGATAGATAGATAGATAGATAGATAGATAGATAGATAGATAGATAGATAGATAGAAAATAGTTTGCTAATGTTAGATGCTTTAGTCTGAAAAGCTCCACAAAGCATTAGAAGAGTATACAATACATCCTTTTTTTCTGTTATCTTACAAAAATCCAAAGTATCAGAAGTTTTCTTAGATAAACTCTTCATATTCTCAGATGAACTCTTTCAAAAAAAGTATTTTGGTTTGTTTCCATAACAGTGTAGGTATTATGGAGTAAGGAGTATACCAAAGTCCTGAGTAATAAGAAAACAGGTGGAGGAATCCTTGTTTTGTCTGTTATCCTTTTTCACAGAAGAAGCTCAGAATGCTCCCTAGTGCTTTACTGTTTCATATACTTACCTTCACCCTTCCAGCTCACGAGCCTGAAACTTACAAAAGGCTGACGTCCTACTGGGATGGGTGAAATCAACAATGATCAAACCAACAATAATCAAACCTCTTTTTCCCTAAATGGTTAGCAACAAAAATCAAAACATCTTCTTCCCTCAGATGGGATAGCCACTTAAGGTCTTTCAGTCTATGGCTTACAGGAGGCAGCAGAGATTGTACAATGAATGAATTGCTTTAATCATTTAACTTCCTTTCTCAGAGATTTATAAATTCTTTTACTGAAGAACTAATTTCTGAATAAGGAAGAGAGAAGAGTACAGGGAGAGAGCGCAGTTAAAATTTTCAGTGATACCTGTACCAGAGTTCTCCAGTGCACAAACATCCTTCATTTTACAGTCATGTAAATATATTTTTATCACTATTTCTAAGATGTTTGAAGTGATGTACCCAACCAGTGCAATTCTACCAGTGCCAGCAGACCAAACGCTTACTCACTCAGGAATTTCCTCAGCATGAAAAAGCCTAGAAAGGAAAGCTGCTATAGCCAAACAGACTCACAGAGCGGTATGTTCTGAGGCTGAGAATAATGAAGCACTAGCAAGCCAGCATCACTGCACAGTTCTGACAAGTAAGCAATAGCAGATCTTGATCTCAGTTTACCTCTACATGCCAGGCTAAAAGATGCCAGTACAGCACAGATTTATGTGCACACCACATGTCCCTGATTAGTAGTATCTCTGAGAGGGCCAGGGGAGGCAGCTGGGGCTGTTAACAGCTTCACTCATTCAATTTTAATTGACTGCTGTGTGTTTGTCAGATCCCTCAGAGCCGCCTTCCTTCTGTTTCAACTTGTGCCAAAAGCTGCGGTGGTCCCATTAACCACAGGGAACAAACAAGCAAGAAGTACCTATCAGCTACAGGTACAGAACAAAGTCTATACTGCTGTTTGAATTGCATTTTAGATGCAATCCTCACTGAATTTCAAGTTCATAGACCAATGATCACTATTCAAGATGCAAATCCAGTGAAATTAGACTCTATTCACACAATTATACATCAAAGCAGGCTTTGATTCAGAACCTTTTTCCTTAATTTTCATCTTCTGTGTTTGTATTTAGTGTCCAAATGTCTCATTGAGAACACTAAGGAAATGCCCATATGTTTCAGTGAGATCAAGACTACACCACTAGCTGATTACCAAACAACTACTGATACAGTTCTTTAATGGCATGCAATCAATCAAAATACTCCAAAGAAAACATGACAGTGATATTTTACACATTTTTTACTTTCTGTAATGGTAACAAATTACTAAAGTGAAAGCTTGAGTAAAATGAGTCCAGGTATATATCCATGATTTCTCTTGTAAGACTTTTTTAAAGCACATATAAATAACTGGTAATGATAAATGGCAGACAGCAACACTGTTGAAAAAAAGGGTTTATAAATCTTACCTCTGCTTTTATTTTATTGTCTCCGAAACACAGGTGTTGTAAGTAGGCTGCAGCATTTGACTGTACTGAGGGAAACTGATGCTGTAACATCTGTATAACTTCTGGAAGCTCTGGATCCCGCCATCCAAACTCTCTGTGTGAAAGCAAACATGAAAGATTCATCAAAAATTCTGCTATTAGTGGCTAAATGTGGCAACAGTTGGGTCAAAAAAGAACACAGAAATGTCTATGCAAAATCTTGATTTTTTTTTTCCCCCACGCTATTTTCAAAGCAAACATTAAATCGAATAGGAAGATATTTGTATTTTAAACTGCAATTCTCGGAAAAAAAAATCCACCATAAAGTATAATAAGAAGAAATAACTTCATGGAATTAGTTCTCTTACATAAATTTTCCTACATAAAATGGCTATATGAATTCATAATATAAGGGAAAAAAAGAGAAAATATACGCTTATACCATTATTGTTTATTAATATGAAAATATGAAGGCTAGAATCAGAACCACATATGGTTTGCTATGAAATGCTACTTTGTCAAAAAGTTACTGCAATCTTTATGGGATACAAATTTCTATCTTACATAGAAAGCGGTGTCTTTCAATTGAGTCTTTTGGTTTATTTTTTCCAGATAGAGTCAATGAAAAATCCTTACACATCTCTGGCCCTCCTTGAGTAGGGAGTTGGACCAGATGACTTCCAGAGGTCCCTTCCGACCTCAGTCCTTCTGTGATTCTGTAATTTTACAATTACGCAATATACACTTATACTTTGGATAACTTTTAAATCTTCATTTCTTTTACGGTATCCAAAGCAGCTAGTCAAATGCAAACACTCAGTGTTTGCACTTTTCAGTAATCCTACAAAATACGAAATTCCATTAGCATCACATGGAAGAACTGAGTCCAAGTATACTGAACAAGTCTCTGCATGTATTTTGCAGCTTCCAGACCTGAACTTAAAATCAATCTGTCACTTCAGGTAATTTTTTCCCCCTTTGTATTTAAGGATAAAATCATACACGCAGCTGCTCTGCATGATATACTTAGTTATCACATGCCTTTTCCCCAAGTGCCATATAAATATTTTTACCATCTTTCATCTGGTGCTACATGTTAAGGCTAACAGAGGGAAATTAGGGAAAAGAGGTGACTTTTGAAAAAGTTCTCTATTGCAGTTACCATGACCACTTGGGAGCTTATTGCCAAAAATCACCTGCAAGACCTGTTGCAGAGTCCAGCTATAACATTTGAAAAAATAATCTTGATCATCAGTTTCCTTCCCAAATTATAAGGGTTCTGCTGCACTGAGGCTGCTCAAGTTTTCTCTGCAATCTGCCCCAAGTAAAATCAGGAACACTTTCAATACAACATTTCTCCACGACACTTCTTGGAAACAAGATTCGTTTTGCAATAATAATGAATTGCTACAGAACATAGGGATTGACTGTTCTCATATGGGACATCTGCTAGACTGAGAGTTGTCATTACAGTTGTATCTCTAGAAAGATTCAGAATATAAGTACGGGACGTAAAAAATATACTTAGAATTTCATTGGTTATTTCTCTTCTGACAAAGCATACGTTAACTCATGACTATTTAATTTTACATTAAGCATTTAATATAAAGAGATCATGAAGATGTAATAATAAATCACATATGAACTATTCCAACAAACCTTTAGATAATATAGACTGTTGGAAGCTTCTACAAGAGACGTGCACATAGATTCAGAAAGATTTAACATTTCATTGATATTTTGAAAAGTTAGAGAAGATTGTAAAAGGTATTAGGGAAGGCTAGAAACATCAGTAGCCAAAGATGGCAAACACCACAGTTTCCTTTGAACACCAGCTTACCATAACTGTTAGCAGGTGAAAAGAAAGGGATTAATTGGTTAGGCACTTATTTCTGTTTAAGAATGGGTAGTACTAACCCATAAACAAGCCCAGAGATAATTCCCAGACACAATGTTATCTGACATGTTAGCTTCCTGTGTATTTGCTTTCTTCCAGTTAACCATGTTAACACTTGCTAAAAGATTCTTCAAACCTATTAGACCTGCCTTCTATATAAATGGCTCTCAGTAAACCAAAGACACATTCCAGAATTTTTTCTTTTAAATAAAAATAAGAAATGAAAAGCAAAACCCACCAACCAAAAAACAAACCAACCAAAAACCAACTGAACAACCCGCCTGTTAGGTGCAGTAGTACATCATGGGCCCTGACAACCAGCTCAGGTTCCCCTTCTTCGTCTTGTCCTGGAGTCCAGGAAAGAAGAAGCAATTAGGGGAAAAAAGGAAAAAGGTCCCTTCATCAAAGGTACAGTTAATTGTTCTGAGGAACCTGCAGTCTCCACATGGTATTTACATGTGAAAACAAGGCTCTCCCAACTTTTCCCCTCTGATCTCCCAAAAGAAAATCAGCAAATGAGGGATGTATGAATATCTGTTGGAAATGGTTGTGTACACATGGGATGTCAGTACAAAATTAATTTAGAGAAGAAACCTTTAGCACTGAATACTGAGTTTGTTATGTAACCAATTTTAGGAGAGAAAATGAACAAAGCAGGAAAAAAAGTTTAAAAATTTAGCCCTAGTATGCACTGTCATTTTAAGCAGATGGTCTCTAAGATGATGATATTTTTAGAAGTTTCTAAATGAAATACAGTAGCTATATAAAACAAACAAGAAAACTTCTGTCAACAGTTAAGGCTGCTTGAATAATTGTGATAATTTCAGCAGCCTTCAGGGCAAGAAAGACTAGTTTCTAGGGGTTTAAATTTTTCATTTTTTTTTTATACTAGTCTTTTACAGGTGAAAAAAAGTGAGAATGAGAAAGAGGGGGCTTTTTTAAAAACAGTAGGCTTGCAGTTCTATCAACAACGTTTATTTTAATATTTTTTAAAGTTAGTTTAATTATGAAAAGTTAGAAAGGCTACTTAATGAAGTCAACTGGCAGAGGTCTGGAGAAGGGAGAAGGACTGGAAATTCTTAAAGACAAAGGCACAAAATGTATCTGGAATATTTTGCATAGATGTGGAGGAACGGTCAGGCCATGCCTCCAAGCGTACCTATATGACAAAAAATATGTTTTAAAATAGAAAGCCAAAAATAAGTAAGAGAAAACAACTAGTAGAGAAGTCAAGAGCTGGAATAAACGGATCTTTGACTGCCTAGCAACAAAAAGCAGCAGTAGGGTGGTATTTGACAAAGATAAGTCAGATTAAAGGAAAGAAGGATAATGAAAATCAAATCTATCTCTATTTCTGTGAAACATCTGATATTGTGCCACACGAAGATTAGTCAAATGGGTAACATATGAGAACCTAATCCCTAGTAAAATTATAAAGTAGAATTATGCAAAATTTCAAACTGTAGTGAATATCCTAAACAAACACCAGTGTCCCTTATTAGCATGCCCATGCTTTCAAAAACTGAGTGAGGCAATCCACACAGATGGTGAAACAAGCCAGAAGGCTGGAGTAAATCTGAGGAGGTGCGTGACATTTTGAGAAATGTTAACAAAGTGTCTGTGTGGTTGATCCAAAAATAAAGAGTAAGGCAGCATCTGTACGTGCAAGATCTTCTGCTATTGCCTATGATTTCCTTGGAATAACAACACTAATCTGCTCAGGTCAGCTAAAGACTTCTGATGGTGGTATTTTACCACAGAGTATTCAAGCTGTGCAAGAACTTCACAGTTTTGTCTGGAAAGTGGCATTTGGCATAAACTCTAAATATTTTGGCAGGTTGTCAAAGTGCATTTTTTCTTGGAAGCATCCTCATCAGAGAAGACTGACTAGAACATACCAAGGTGTTCTACCTTCTTTCTTTTATGGAAACTCTGTTCTAGGAATGTAGAATTGTTCTCATTTTTAATCCTGCAGAAGATTTTAGTTTTAAGCGGTGACTAAGGCAGATGTTCCATGGATTACAGCAGAGTACTGTTCCAGGAGTGGAAGAGGACCCAAAGGGGAAGTTGTATGTAAGCTGGCAATACATATGCCTAGACTATCACAATAGGCTACATTTTATCTGCGAACTGAAGAGAATCAACAAGAAGCTGTACGTGAGATACAACTGATATAGAATCAATAGCACCTAGAAATCCAGGCTGATTTGGGTACTGCAAGTAATGCATTCAAACCAGTTCCTTCTCCTGCCATCATACCACATACACATGTCAGAAAATAAAAGAGATGTAGACTGTTAAGCAAGACAGCTCAGTGCATTGGCTATGTGGGGTCAGTGAAAGGTGCTGCTGAAAACGAAGTATGTACTGTGTCTGAGTATTTGCTTGAATTATGCCACAGTTTTCTTCTTCTGCTACTGAAAATGCTGATGGGACACAGAAAAGCAAAAACAAAATTCCTGTTACATCTATATATGCACTGATTTTAAAAAGTCTCCAGCTGGTAACTAAGGATACTGGTTGCTTTTGCAAAGTGTTAGAGAAGCAGGTGTGATGGCTCCATCTACTCTCCAGCCATTGGTCACAGCGAATCTCATGAAAGTTTGGGTTCTTATTTCTGACTTACATTATTAGAGCAGAATATTCACAAGTGATCAAGCAGTTGGCACAGGCAAACACTGACACCCAGAGCTACTCCTGCCTCAGCAACACTCCCCAAAGGCAGTGCTGTGAAGATGCCTCCTATGAAGACCCATATGCTTGACAAAGATCGAACTACCAAGCATTTGTCAAAGAAAGAGAACGCACATTCTTTTGCATTACAAGGCTGTACGTTTTAAACAGATTTGTCTGTATGTTCCTTCTTGTCTTAAACTGGAGAAGGAGAGGTTTACATATATGAAGCGGTACTCAAAGGCAAAGATGATTCAATCTGAGCTAAGGATAATCGTTCCTTCATTTCTATCTTGTATACATTGTGGCACTGCTAATGTTAGTCTACAAGACTTTTTGCTGAACTTATGCCTACAGATATAGACCCTTCTGTTGACTTCCTTCCTCAATTCAATAAATAAAGCCTGAAAATCTCTTTTCCCTTGTTTCTGAAAGGAAAGCTGTGAAAACTGTTTTCTGGTAGTACAAGGAAAAAACAAAGTACATGTAGCTCAGGATCAAACATAAGGAGAACTAAACAAAAGACAACAGAAGATCAAAGAACT